GATTAATCGATTATAAAAATAATCGTTTGTGGCAGCCCTAGTTACAAGAGGTATTATTGAATTATTCCAAAAATAACTGGATGTTATTACCGCATATAAACAATGTTTGGATGTGCTGACAATGCTCCACATCTGTTCCAGCCCACAGCATCCTGTCCAATCAACCAGGCTGACAAGAAGACTAGGATCGTTTCCTTTCTCCCTACACCCCTCGCTCTTGTCTCACGTGGCTTTCTTGTTATCTAATCAATGAGAAATTGTACGTTTCTTCGTGATAAGTACAGCTAATTAATTCCCTGTTAACCCCACTTCTCAATACCACTGGCAGATTGGCCACTATCTCTTAAACACTTCCTAATCACGCAGCCTATTCTACACTTTGTTGTACAAACGGGTGTGAGGGGAGCACCAAGTAATTCAGTTGTCGTCCGGAAATCCTCTTGAATGCAATCTGCCTCCAGACAATGAATGGAAGTGTCCTTTTTAGCATCCTTCAAATTAACTGCTGTGGTCCACTGGAGCTTCTGCTTGTTTACTTTAAATGTCCTTTTAGCTGGAAAACAAAAGCAGCCTCTCGTCTTGGGGAATAGTTGACACGCAGGTCAGGCGGTTGGTTGTGCAGCGTTTGCACTGAATTTAAATTGAAGGCGACTCCCGAGGAGCTGTGCGCTGCGGCCACATGGTGGCACCACTAATCTGGGTCTGGGGATGTTATAAATCCACATTCACAAGGTGTGTGTGATGTGCATACTGAGAGATTACAGTTACTCGCATAGTTTTTTTTGCCAAAGTGCGTCGTGGTTTTAGTATTCTCTCTTAGATCCTAGTTTTTATTTTTGCACGCCAGTATATTTACGAATATCAACACATTAAAGCAAAAGTGACAAAAACAGAATGATGATACCAGTTGAAATATGCACTGCTGCCAAACTGCTGAAGGTTTCCTTTAAAGCATCTCATGGTTCCCTCAGCCTCACAGAAACACTGCCAAATGTGAAGGAGTCAAGGCTTGAATGGACTGAGGCCCCAGAATATATTTTTTTTCTGTCACTGGCTCATAAAACCGCCGCCTCTTTTGTGTCCAAGGAGGAGGAGAGAAGAGAGCGACGACGACTAGGGGGGGAAACAAAACAGAAACATTTTGTATGAAGTGCTGGGCTTGTTTGGAGGGGTGGACAACCTCATGGGGTTGTCCTCTCGGTGAAGCTGCTGTTTTTCCCCCTCTCGCTTTTGTTTAATGAAGAACACAGGAAATATGTCTGAAAGGGGCAGATACCCCCAGAATCCCCGAGGTTTTATGAAAGGATATTCCAGAGCTCATCTAAAGTGGAACTAATGTGGCGTTCCTTCAAAAAAAAGCTCCAGCATTTTTCTAAACAAATTGGGGCTAATTACCTTAGAATCCAGAGTCAGTACCATGACTTGTGTGAATTTCCTAGGATCTTCTGTTGCTTTTATGTAGAAATATTTTTTGTTGATGAGTGTGGCAACATGATTTGATTGATTTGATTTATTTAACAGGAAAAGATTATTAAAAATCAAGCCTGACTCAGCATAATTGCTGCTTTACAGCAGGTTCCTGTTCTGCAGCACATAAAACACTCAGAATTACAGCATCACATTCACACCATTATACACCATAGACACAAAGACAAACAAGTATACCAATTTTCAAAAAGGCAGCATTTGCAAAATAGGACGTCTAAATATGAGCACAACAAAAAGTGTCCAGCAGATGGCAGACAAGATTCTTCTTAAAGGGCTGTAGTTTTGAAATGGACTTTGTTTTGAGGAATGTCATTCCATGCTTTAGTATAAACATAGAAGAAAGACCTCTGGCCGTAACAGTTTTTAAAAGTTGGTAATATCAGTTGTCCTTTTGTAACAGATCTAGTTGAATGACCACTTCCAGAATTTGATTTGGGTAGCAACATCATTAAAGATTATCTCACTGATGTTGAGATTACATTTTATGCTTTCTAGCTGTAGTTAAGTAGAAAATTAGCTTTATGTGCATCTCATTTAAAAATGCTTACGGTTTAATTTGGAAACAGTAATTATTCGTGATAATTATTATTTCTTTTGAGTATTACTATACTAAATCTTAAAG